ATCAGTCGATCATTATACACCATTCGATAGCCCTTTTCAAGAGCTACATGTCTGACGGTTCAAATTTGAAAAAGCTCATTTTCGACTTTTTGGCCAAATGTCCGCTTGAATGCCCACTGTGAGAGGGGTATTCAAACATGGTTATGACACATTCGAAACTTGACCTAGCTTTTATGACTGTCGACTTTTTATGATTCGACAGATTTGATAGATCTTATCAAGATATAGGTTACTTTGTCTAAGATTTTTAAAGATGTGTTGAGAGTCTGTTAAGATCTTACTAAGAATTTTTCTGAATATCTTATGTAAGTGCTTATAAAGGATCCTTTATAGACGAGTAAAACCATCTACAAAAACACATCTCTGACTATTTTATGTTTAAACGACTCTTAACATTCTGCTTTTTCTCTTTTTCTTTTGTTATAATTGAATAGATGAAGAAAGAAATGATATCGGTTTTTGCCCGTATCGTACAAAGAAGAGGTATTAACATAGTATTGTCTTTTACGATTTCTTAGGATTTATCTCGCTTATCTAGATCGCTCTCTCTTTCACTTATAAGGGATAGGATATTCAGAAATTAGATGATCGAAGAATGAACGGGGAGATATTCTTCGAATTATACCAGCTTGGTTCTGATAATAGCTTTTGGTGTGCTTCTCTTAAGAGAAGAGCAGACAAAAAAAATGTTGCATACGCGCATGCCTGTCGTTCTGTACTGTATTTATTGATGTATATACGTTATAGTGGATCAAATTGTACGACCGCCGCTTCGAAATGTCACAAACATATATATATACCGTTGACTTTCTACTGACACTACACATTTCACATTTTAAAATTTATCTTTATTGTATCAAACATTAGAATTATCCAGAAAATGCAGTTTTATGCAGTAATAATATTTCTGTTTGTATTATTAACACTTGGTAAGTGCAACTTCTTGATCTCAGAGCTAGTGATTTATTTTTAAGTTTTTGTTTCCGGAGTAGCGAATTCTGGACATATGACGAAGTATTATGATTAGCGATAGTTCATAACTGCATTCTTAACCTGTTTTTCACTTCAGTAACAGTTAGTAAAAGTAAAATGAGTTATAAACCACCGTGTTCTTTAAGCTCACACTATGTGGTCGGCACATCCATTTGTTGTTACGTCTTAAGAAAAACTGGTTTGATCACAGATTTTCCTGTAATATCAAAGCAACCTGTTGAGACTTCCTTGCTATCGTAGAATGTATTTATATTCTTAAAAATGTAGTTAATTTAGGTGAACATTTTCTTATCTCTAATGCGTGATTTATTTAGATTTGGTTGTGTCAAAAACGACAAAAGGACCACAACAAACGTGTATTGATGAGGGCGGTACTATTTTTGGCGAAATTACAGTTCTGCTTTCAGGTGGAACAAAGATCGTTGGCTATGGAACGCTTAGTACAGATAAAACACACATCGATTTTTGTAAGGCACCATATCCGTCAAAACTAGATATGAAGTCTTTTTATGACGTAACATTCAAACCTGATAAAGGTTCTTCGGTTACATATAGTAAAGTGGAATATTTCTTCAATGCAGGATGGGTGGGACCACGTTTGAAAATACTCGAATAGTAATGGAGTAATTTAAAAACATTTTTTGCAATAATTTTTTCTTTGTAAAGTAGTTTGTTGAATAATAATAAAATATATACATATCTAATAGATATTAATCTAGAGCAGCTTTTTGTGTGCATAATTTTGTGATGCCGCGACAGTATTGAAACTGTATTGAGTGATGAGTCCACTACAGTGCGATCTTTTTAACGGACAAGTGACATGTTTAAAAATTTTGAAATGATATTTAGCCGGTTTGGTGATGTCTATTGAACGATGGCAAAAGAAATAAATTACAGTAATTTTAATGATTTTTTATATTAAAACAAACGTCAAACCTTGCAGCTCATCCAATGTTAGGATGTACAATGGTGAAATATACATGTTGTTTTATAATTTTCTAGAGAAAATGAAAGAAAATGACGTACTTCCGTCGTTATAGTCATCAGAACATTTCATCTTTGGATTAGGTCGCAAGTCAGTAGAAAAGTGTTGAGAAAGTGACTTTAATGGAATTGGATGATGAGAAAAACTCCACCAACGAAGATGTTACTAAACTTAGTAAACCGGAATACCCTTTCTAAAGGTAACTGTCAGGCATTTTTCTTTCAGAATACACTCGTTTATCAGATCTAGAACATACACACTGATGCACTATCTGCAGAATAAGCATTTTAAGATGCTTTCCATTACACCGATTAAAACTACACTGTAAATTCGTGTTCCATATAAACGGGTGACACTTTCACCCACTTCTGTGTGTCATCATCCATCAAAGTGGGTGATTTTCCTTTGTTTATCACTCATCACCCACTTTAGCAGTTCAAAATTGTTATCCTGCTGGGTGACCTGTAATCCACCTCTCTACAAAACTGGATTACGGTCACCCAGCAGGATAACACTTTTGAACTGCTAAAGTGGGTGATCCACTCTAATGGATGATGACACACATAAGTGGGTGAAAGTGTCACCCGTTTATATGGAACACGAATTCACAGTGTATGGACAAAGAGTTGTTTTTGGTCTTCTAATTAGGCGATTTTAGAATCGTTTTTTGAAAATATTCATGATATTTGTTGATCGATATAAACCGTTACTTCTTAGTTTTTTGGTTCATTTCTTAGTCTAAAAATATGGTTTAAGTCCGATAAATAAAGCTCGTACACTATGGCAGGTTACCATAGCCTAATTGTATTAATTGATGATATGCGACTGTATCAGTGCACGGAAAAGGATGAAATAGATCCCAGTTTGTTATATATTTTAGTTATTGTACACTCCGATGTTTATGTTATTGAATCATACAATTCGATTAAATGAGCTGTAAAAGGGACATACTAACAGACAAGTTGAAATTACATCACGATTCTCGTTGTATCATATCAATCTTCATTCACCTCTTGTCATACTTTTCTTTTTGTTTGATCGGTCGTATGGATGAGCCAACTGAACGACAAATTACTAAAAAAAGTCTTCTCCTAACCTTTTAAAAAAAAACAAATGAACTTGAAAATTTTGCCCTTCGGCGATGAACTCTATATTTTTGTTGTGGATTCTGCACGTTGTCAATAGGCTAAATCTAAGCACAAAAATCACGAACGGGTTCCTCATAAAACGCGATCATCAACAGATGGTACTCACAACAGAGTTGTAACCGGTCCGGCCGGTTTTTGTACCGGTTGAAAAAATAATCTGAAACCCGCTAGTTTTCGGCCGGTTCAACTTTAGATGAGAAATGAAGTGTTTTGTCGGTCGTGACTAAAAATTGGAAGTTGGAATGGAAGATGGAAGTTGGAAGATGACCGATTGGTTGAAATTTTAGTACCTAGTAATGCAGTTTGAAAGTGAAGTCGTATTTTAAAAGAAAATATTGCCGTTTATCAAAGACTATAATAACCCTGAGTTCTATCAGAACATCATGTTTTCTTTTTGTTTCTATGGCCAGCAGCGATAGCTGACGCCAAGTACAACGTGTAATGATTCAAGTCGTCCTAAACCGGGGGTGTTAGAATCGAGGATAATTAATCTCTTTCAATAAAAATCTGAACTTTAGCAACTATAGGCTTACAGGAGAATCTCAGATCGAAAGGTTATTTTTATTGCAAAAACGTATCAAATTCTAGTCGACGAACAATGATGTGCTATTATTTCCAAAAAAATAGTACATCTAATATGATTAATCACTACCCTAGTGAATGTTCTTGATACAAGTACTTGATTACCTGATGAGTACTTGGAAAGTGCATGACAAGTTAGGTACTTGGTCTTGTACTTGAGCAAGAACTTGTCAAGCATCGTTATTTGACTTGCTTCAGCCAAGTACTTGGACAAGTCAGTCATCCTTTTTTTTGCGTTGACCACACGTATATAAACAGCACAATATCAATCATTATACACTTATAAAATAAACTTATATATTTCTACTCAGTTGAACAAACTTAGTAGAATATGTGTAAAATACAAAATAAGAATAAATGGAACAAGTACTTGACTGAACGTTTTCTAGTAATTTACTTGCATTAGACCAGTCAAGTACTTACATTTTACTTATCAAGTACTTTCTCAAGTACTTGACAAGTAAATTTACTTGGAAAAGTCTACAAGTACTGCCCTTATTACTTAACCCAAGTACTTGCGCAAGTACTTGATTCAAGTACATTCACTCGGATAAGACTTGAACGGGCTTTCATTTATAATAGGTTCCAACGTCTAGGTAAAAACCAATACAAGGCCTGAAACACCATCAGCAAAGCAAGCTGAAGTTATTTAAAGCATCTTAATTCTTGTGAAACTCAAATCGTTAATAAATGTTTATACTGTCACATATTTTATTATTCATAAGAAAAGTCAAAAAAGTCAAAAACGTCAAAAAGGTCAAAAAAGTCAAAAACGTCAAAAAGGTCAAAAAAGTCAAAAGTCAGAAAGTCAAAAATCATCGTCACTGATATTGAGTATATTCGCCAATGGTGTTCGACACTAAAACACAGTAAAGCATTCATCATCTTAGAGAGAACGTACGAGATGGTAGAAGCGTACTTGAGCAACTTTTGTTGCTTTTTTAACTAATTTTGTCTCGACTCTTGTCGTTGAATTTGTTGGCTATAAGTAAAGAGAAAGGAAGGATTGATAGTTGAAAATAATAACCATATAGTGTATAATTACCATCTCTTTATCCAAAACGTTTGGCTTTTTTGTACCCGACTTTTTGATATTCTTTTCCAGTTTTGATGCTTCTCTCAATTTTTCCATATTAGGTTTCGGTTGGATAATTGGTAATCCAGCATTTCGTTTTGCAGCCATTATGTGGCTACAATCGCCGCCTTTCTTGTTAATCCGGAAGAACGGACATGTGCATGTAGATATCGAATGGTTATGTTTATCGACATGTCTAAAATCCACCATTTGAACTTCGCTTTTAGCTTTGTTCTCCACGATCCATACCCCTAAAGAACCGAAAACGAAAGACACTGTACAAGTAGAACCTTTATTTGTGTGATGCAATAAATACGAGC